ATCAGCCTAGCTCACAGCAACCTCAGACTCCTGGGCTCAAGCAATCCTCCTGCCTCAGCCTCCCGAGTAGCTGGGACTACAGGCATGCACCACCATGCCCAGCTAATTTTTTTCTATATATATTAGTTGGCCAATTAATTTCTTTCTATTTATAGTAGAGACGGGGTCTTGCTCTTGCTCAGGCTGGTTTCGAACTCCTGAACCTCAAGCAATCCGCCCGCCTCTGCCTCCCAGAGAGCTAGGATTACAGGTGTGAGCCACTGCGCCCTGCCGAATTGTAGACATTTGATAGGTAAGTGGCCAAGTACATTCAATAGTCACTTTCGAAATATTACTGTTTTCCAGACATAAGTGAAAACCAAATATAATTATTAGTACATTATTAATGTAGTAACTTTCAATTTTAGCTTGAAGTAAAACTGAACTCCTAAAATAAATTGAACCAAAATATTTAGAAAAAAATTTTGTTGTTGCATCGTATCTTTTCCTTGTACCTAATAATTATGAAGTAGGAAAAATCTTAAAGAATTTTCAGTAAGGCTGGGCACAGTGGTTCATACCTGTAATCCCAGCACTTTGGAAGGCCAAGAGCAGGAGGATCGCTTGAGGCCAGGGATTGAAAGTTACAATGAGCTACGATTGTGCCACTATACTTCAGCCTAGACAACATAGCGAGACCCCATCTCTACAAAAGATTAAGAAATTAGCCAGGCATGGTGACTTATGCCTGCAGTCTCAGCTACTGGGAAGGCTGAGGTGGGAGGATCTTTTGAGCCAGGAGTTTGAGGTTACAGTAAGCTATGACTATACCACTACATTCCAACCTGGGCAACAGAGTGAAATCCTATCTCTAAAATCAAGTCTGCTTATTGCCTTTGAATTTGTAGTTCTCACAGGACAGGAAAAATACTTTCAATGTATAAATTTTGGTTTCTTAACATGCTGGTGGCCAGTATTTTTTTTAAGAGAAGAGGAAATATTAATAAAAATGGAGTAGGAAAAAAATTGTTAATTGTTTTATTGGCTCAACTAGTTGACCCTCAGTTCTTATTGGACTGACCAACTGGGATCCAAACTTAAGCCATTTGTCTGTTTTTTTAATTTCTTTTTTGCATTCTATGTAAGAGTGAGAAGAAAGGGAATTTAGTTGTTTGTTGATTTTAATCTTAAAAAGGACTAATGAAAATTTTGGTGTAGTACAAGTTCTTAAGGTAAATAAAGAAATGAAAAAAAATGTCCATGAAGATTGAATCCAAATAAAGCCCACCCTTTATTCACCATATATAATTTAGGAGTCGTATAGGAAATTCTTCATGGGCTATAATTTAATCAGAATGTATATAATACAATAGTCTTGATATATAGGTTGGTTAATTCTAGTTTATTTAAATATACTTGAGAGATTTTTTTAGGTTTTGCAGGGATACATTAGAATTTATGGAAAATAAAACCTAGAGACTATTTACAGCGTACATACCCTTTTATTTTTATATTATTCAAGAAAATTTTCAAACAGCAAGATGAAAGTTCATAGTGAACATCTCTATACTGGCCACTAACAATTTACAATTACTGCATTTGACTTATCATGTATTTATCCAGCTATCAATCCATCTTAATTTCTTTTTTGTGGGGTTGGGGGCTGGGGAGAGTCTGGCTCTGTCACCCATGGTAGAATGTAGTCATGTGACCATAGCTCACAGCAACCTCAAACTCCTGGGCTCAAGCAATCCTGCTTTAGCTCAGCCACCCAAGTAGGTGGGGATTACAGGATCGCGCTACTAAGCATGGCTAATTATTTCTATTTTTATTTCTGTTTTTAGTAGAGACAGGATCTCACTTTTGCTCAGGTTGGTCTTACACTCCTGACCTCAAGCCGTCCTTCTGCCTCGGCCTTGGCCTCGGCCTCTCGGAGCACTAGGATTACTGGTGTGAGCCACTATGCCCGGCCTAATCTATCTTAATTTTTTGCTGGATTTCAATAACTTCTTTTTAAGCAATGAAACATTCATATTAGTAACTACGGTTCTATATTTGTTAACGTTTTTCCTTAAGAGATGAAATTTACATACAATGATGTGCACTAATTTTAAGTATGCCATAGGATCAATTTTGACAGTCAGTTCAAAGCCCTATCAAGATATAGAATGTTGCTATCACCTCAGAGTTCTCTCATGCCCCTTCCCAGTCAGTCTCCACCCCCATTTTCCCATAAGCAATGACTCTGATGATAGTTTTCTCCTTCAGATTAGTTTTGCTTGTTCTAGAACTTTGTATAAATGGAATCATACAATAAGGGTGTTCCTATCTACTTGTTTAATCTATACTTGTGTTTCTTTGCTTCCTTTCCTCATGAAATTTAAGAATAGTTCCTTGTCAGATATCCTGGATCATGGTTAATGTGAAAACAACTGTCACTGAAAGAATATTACTGTAGCATTTCTAGACCTGTAGTTTCTATAAACTATTAGAACATTAATTTATGTTAGTATCCTAATAAAACATCAGACCTTGACCTGTCAAGAGAGAAAAACTAAGGTATATACTCTTTTCTTAATTCCAGAGGCTTTTTCAAGGGAAAGTAAATAAAGGACTTCATTTTTTAAAGAACATAATAGCTCTTTCTTTTGCTTGCCAAATAAGTGCAGATACCAATTTCCATCTCTCTAGAGTAACTTTAGTGTCCATAAGAGTCTTAATACTATGGTTTTATGTGATACTTTCTTTGGAAGAACAAAAATGAATTCTCTCACACGCTATCACTCATTTTATTTGGCAAGTGTGCAGGAGTGCTGCCATATTTTTTTTTAGACTAGGTACATCTACTTCCCCAGCTATCAGTTATTAAGATGAGACGTAATGGGGATCTAGGGTTAAGTCCCAGCTCAAAACTTTGTGTTGTATTTTTGGGTACCCACCAAAAATGGTATGAAGATATACCTGATGTCAACCTAAATAACAGAGACTCTCTAAAAGAAACGTATTTATTTGGGAACAGAGTATTGCAGTGGGAATACACATGCCATAGTAAGCTATGTGTGTATTGAGAGAGGTAAAGGAAGACCAAGATTTTTAAAGGAAAAATGAAGAGCATTAAATAATTGTTTTGAAATTATTATCCTCAGCTACACAGATCAATAACAAAGGTGACACCAGTCTGAGGTTGAACAGGCAGTTGCTGAACAGATGTCTTTGCAAAATTATTTTTTGTATAAGGTTATGATGGCCTTTTTACAAGGTTGTGGTTTTGGCAGTCTTTTGTGATAGTTTTTTGTTATTAGGCATATAAGCATAAGAACAGTCTCTTAGACTTCCCTTGCTCTATTTGTCAATGTTTTCTTTTTTTCTTTTTAAAACAGAGGTGACTTCATTTTGATTCTGACAACTTTTATATTGGTAAACAACTTTCTTAGTATTTGATTACTATTTTTCATAATTAAAATTCTGAAAAGAATACCTAATAAAGAGCATTAAGGAAGAAAATACAATTTCCCTAAGTAATTGCCCTTATTTCCCTAAATAAGGTGGAATTGTTGGAAGTGTTTCTTTTGATTTTCACTTTGAAAGAATAAGGGGAACTTTGAATGAATATATTACTTTGTATAATTTTAACCTGATTCCTAGGACTTTGTAATACATGAATGAGTGTGATATAAGCTTTATTGAAACGTACCAGGCATGGTGGCTCATACTTATAATTCTAGTGGTTTGCAGGGCAGAGGTAGGAGGAACTTGAAGCTGGGAGTTGAAGCTAGGAGACAAGTCTGGGCAACAGGTAAGACCCTGTCTCTACAAAAAAAATAATAAAAAGCCAGGTGTGGTGGCCTATGCCTGTCGTCCTAGCTACTAGGAAACTAGTAGGGAAGCTGAAGTGGGAGTGAGTATTCCTTGAGCCCAGGAGTTTGAGGTTATAGTGAGCTATGATCATGCTACAGTATTCCAGCCTGGGCAACAGAGTGAGACCCTGTCTGTAAAGAGAAGAGTTCATCTATTCCCAAATAATGATGGTAATTGAATTATTCTAACTTATATTTCTCCTCCAGGGGCATTAGATCCTATAGAATTACTTACTAGGACATTTGTGGTTTTTGTTACTTTTTTTTCTTAAGTACACATTAGACTTTTAAATTTTATTACAAAAAATTAGAAAGTTGAACAAATTTTACTCCTCAAGTTCCGTTCAGAAGTTTGTTTTAAGATTATGCCTTTATCTGTATTAGCTGTATAAGAGTTTTAAGTTCTAAATAGTTCATTATCAATAGCTGGCTCAATACATAGTGACTGTTTTTTCTTCTTTGAAGTAAAAAAAATGATGCTCTATTATTCTGTCTTTTCTTTAAAGCTAAAAGTAAGGCCCTGCTATTATTATAATGTCTTTTCCTTTATTTCCAACCTTTGGAAATCCTCTGGATTTCTTGAACTGTTATCTTGAAGAATGCCTTTTAGCGTTGTCACTTTCCAAATGGTTAAAAAAAATACTTTAAAAAAATGGCACATAAAAAGTTCTTATCTTTCAGTGATATATTTTGAAATATTTATGGATAAAAAGATGTGTCTGAGATTTGCTTTAAAATAATTGAGGGTGACAAGGGAGTGGGTAGGGATACAGATGAAACAAGATTGGTCAAAAATAATCATTGTTGAACCTAGGTAATAGTATAAGTGGTTTTATTTTATTCTCTCTACTTTTGAGTATGTTTGAAATTTTCCACAATAGGTTGAAAAATGAAAACAGAATCCATATAGAGATTTAAATTTAGCAGTATGAAATATAAATTTGAATTGTACTCTAAAAATATGTGAGATAGTCATGTTCTTTACTTTTGAACAAAATAATTTTACTACATAAAAATTTAAATTTTAAGTAGGTATTCTTGTTATGTCAAGATAAAGGTATATTTACAGGTGAATGAGCACAGTCTTTTGTTAAAACTGCAAACATAACCTTTTCTAAAGCTGGTTAAATAGGATGATTGTATTGACAGTTCTCATTGTTTCAGGTAGTTCAGCAGCCTACAGGAGGCATTGCGAAACAAGTGACCACACTTCCTCATTCCTCAGCATTGACCATTCAGAAATCTGGACAAAAGAAGATGCCAGTGAACACTGTAATACCTACCAGTCAATTTCCTACAGGTAGACGCTGGCCTATCCCAGCCCTTTCTCATTGGGTTTGGAACATGTAGAAGAGTTTTGCATAATTTTGTTGTTGTTATATTAATGGAGATTGGTCTTTTAAAGTTGGCAATTTACAAAAGAAGACTGAAAGATGACTACTTATTAAATTTATTGTACAATGTAGGCATATATGTTGTTTTGGAATAAAAGAAGAAACTACTAATGGCATTCTGTAATTAGATAAAATAAGCTAGTAAATGAGGACTTTTTAAACTTACAGAATTTGCTATAGTCTTATTTCTTCTTAAAATATAGTTCTTTCGCTAAGTTTGGATATTAGGCCAGTGCAGTAACTCGTCTGTAATTCCAGCACTTTTGGGAGGCTGAGGCCAGAGGATCTCTTGAGGCTGGGAGTTTGAAATTAGCTTGGGTAACATAATGAGACTTCATCACTACAATAAGTAAAAGAAAAAAAAATTGAGCTATGCATGGTGGTACCTCCTGTAGTCTCAAGCTACTTGGGAAGGTGAGTCAGGAGGATTGCTTGAGCCCAGGAGTTTGAGTCTGCAGTGAGCTATGATTGTGCCACTGCACTCCAGCCTGGGAAAGAGCTGCTGTCTCCTTAAAACAAATAATAAATAAATAATCAGTCTTACATGTGTAAGGTAGAGCTTTAATGTGTTTTGAAAATATACTGATGCAGATAACATGTTTCAGTAACCTTTTGTTCCTGTTTTGTAATGCTGCTAATTCTATAGACAATTTGAAACCATGTAAAAAGAGATGGAGTGATCTTTATTTCATAAGATCATTTCTTATACAAGGAATAAATTCTTTGTCTTGTTTGAATTTATGAATAGTTCTAGGGCAACTTGAAATTTTCTTTGATTATTCTATATAGATTAAAAACTGTTGTCCTGAATTTTTCTTAATGTGGCATGATTGCTTTTTTGTATTCTACTTTTTTCTTTCTTGTTTTGTTTTTATAGCTTCCATTGTAAAGCAAATTACTCTGCCTGGAAATAAAATTTTGTCGCTCCAAACATCTCCTATTCAGAAAAGTAAAATAAAGGAGAATGGAACAACTTGCTTCAGGTAAAGAAAATAGTTAAACATGGTTTAAGGAAGTAATATTTAGGAAACAAAGAGATGACAGAATAATACCTTAATAAAATAGATTTATTGATGCCTTTTTAGAAAGCTAACAGCACTTTATTGAGTATAATTTATATATAATAAAGTACACAAAAGTGTATAGCTCAATGAATTTTTGTCAAATATATACCTATGTAATCATAATCCAGATCAAGATAATGAACATATTCATTTGTGCACCTTTGTGCACCTTTCAAATTAATTAGGCCGTATCCTGACTCGGCAGCCACTCAGCCACTGTTTTTATGTCTATCACCATAGATCATTTTTGTCTATTCTTAAACTTCACATAAATGAAATATTACATTATCATGTACTCTTTTGCATCTGACTATTGTTACTCAGCATCTTTTTGAGATTATCCATATTATTTTGAATATTAGAAGATTCTTTTATATTGCTGAGAAGTATTTCATTTTATGAAATTACATTTGTTTATCCTTTTTGCTGTTGATGGACATTTGGTTGGTTTCTAGTTTTTAGCAATCATATATAAAGCTTCTATAAAACATTCACATATGGAATTTTGTGTGAATGTAGATTTTCATTTCTTTGTAGTAAATATCTAGGAGTATAATTACTGAGTCATTATGTGTTTAACTGTTTAAAGTCCTACTAAACTGTTTAACAAAGTGACTGTAGCATTTTGCATTCTCACCAGCAGTGATGAGAAGTTCAGTTGCTCTCCAACTTTGTCAGTACTTGGTACTCTCAGTTCTTTTAATTTTTTACCATTCTAATAGGTGTGTAGTGGTTATTATAATTGTGCTTTTAATTTGCATTTTCCCAATGACTAAAGATGTTGATCATCTATTCTTATGCCTGTTATTCTCATAAATCTTTCTCCCATTTTTGTTTATTGTCTATTTTTGTTTTCTTATGGTTCAGTTTTTAAGAGTTTTTAAAATATATTTAAGATCTAAGTCATTTTCCAGATAAATGATTTGGAAATGCTTTCTTTGTGGCATGATTTTTTTCATTCTCTTAACAGTATCTTTCACAGAGCAAAAGTTATTAATTTTTTGTTGATTTTCAATTCATTAATTTTTTTCTCTTGTAGATTATTCTTTTCACATCTTATGTAAGAGATATTTGTGTAACCCAGGGTTACAAAGATTTTCTCCTATGCTTTGGTCTAGAATTTTTATAGTTTTTGACTTGTCTTTTTTGTTTTATTGCTATCCTTTAATTCACACTTATTGTCTGTCTATATAAAAACCATCATGTTCACATTCTACACTTCCCCCATTTTAATTGCATAATTTCTTCTTCACAACATATACCTTTGATACTTCAGTCTTCCTTCTTCATCCCTTCCTATATTTGTTGTTAGTCTACTTTTATATGCATTTATTAAAGTGCTTACCTTCTGTCCTTTTCTGAAGTGTTCTCGATCATGTCTTGATTGGATGAAGTTCATCTACTAGCAGGTTCCTTGAGAAAGGTTCATAGGTGTAGAATTCCCTAAGTTCTTGTGTGGTAAAACTGTTTTTCAGTGTCCTTGATACTTAAAGGACAGTTTGGCTGGATATGAATTAACACTTTTTGTATTGCATTTTTAAAAAAGGCTGTTTCATTATTGTCTTGATTTGTATGTTGTTATTATTCAACCTTTTTGTCTGAAGGCCTTGGGGATTTTTTCTTTAGTTTTGAAATCTCATAGTTTTATACTAAGATACGTAGTTAAGGTAATTAGTCTAGCTTAATTTTCCTAGGTTTCCATTTGCCCTTTCAGAATGTAGATTCTGGTCTTTTATAATTTGTGGAAAGTTTTCTTGGATTATAGTTTTAAATATTCTAGTTCATTGTTTTGTGTTTTTTTTTCCTTCAGAGATTTCAGTAATATGAATTTTATTCCTTTTGTTTCTATCTCATTTTTATTACTTTGTCTCTAACTCTTTTTTACATTTTAAAATTTGTTATTGACTTTAATTTTATTTTTTATTTCAAAATATTAATTTAAGGGGATGTGAGTGTTTTTGTTACATGGGTATCTTGTGTAATGCTTAAGTCAGGGCATTTGATGTGCCCATAACCAGAATAGTGTTCTTTGTACCCAATAGGTAAATTTTTATTCCACACACGCACCACCTACCCTCCCCTCTTTTTTTTTTTTTTTTTGAGACAGAGTCTCACCTTGTTGCCCAGTGAGTGCCGTGGTGTCAGCCTAGCTCACAGCAACCTCAGACTCCTGGGCTCAAGCAATCCTCCTGCTTCAGCCTCCCGAGTAGCTGGGACTACAGACGTGTGTCACCATGCCCAGCTAATTGTTTTTGTTTTTAGTAGAGACAGGTCTCATGCTTGCTCAGGCTGGTCTTCAACTCCTAACCTCAAGTGATCATCCTGTCTCAACCTCCCAGAGTGCTAGGATTATAGGCATGAGCCACCACACCCGGCCTTATTATTTCTGATAATTTTCAGATTATTTGAAGTTATTTATATAGATGGCATCAATAAGTGTTCACAGTAAGGTAAATGTGTAAGGAAGTCACTTTGAGTAAAACCACTGAGAAACAGGAACATATCTGCAGTTCCAGTGACTTTAAGAATTGGATGTGGGGCCAGGCACAGTGACTCACACCTGTAATCCTAGCACTCTGAGAGGCCGAGGCGGGCGGATTGCTCGGGGTCAGGAGTTCAAAACCAGCCTGAGCAAGAGCGAGACCCCATCTCTACTATAAACCGAAAGAAATTAATTGGCCAACTAATATATATAGAAAAAATTAGCCTGGCATGGTGGCACATGCCTGTAGTCCCAGCTGCTCGGGAGGCCGAGGCAGGAGGATCGCTTGATTGAGCCCAGAAGTTTGAGGTTGCTGTGAGCTAGGCTGACACCACTGCACTCACTCTAGCCTGGGCAACAAAGTGAGACTCTGTCTCAAAAAATATATATATTTAAAAAAAAAAAATTGGATGTGATCAAATATTGAATATTAAAAACCATTATAAAATGTTTAAAAATAAAATATGAAATCACAAAAATGAATAAGATATAATTATTTATTAAAAAACAAATACAGAAATTTGACAAAGAACCAAAGAGAACTTTTGGAAGTGAAAACTGTAGTTACTGAATTTAAAACTTTGTTGGGGCCGGGCGTGGTGGCTCACACCTGTAATCCTAGCACTCTGGGAGGCTGAGGCGGGCGGATTGCTCAAGGTCAGGAGTTCGAAACCAGCCTGAGCAAGAGCGAGACCCCGTCTCTACTATTAATAGAAAGAAATTAATTGGCCAACTAATACATACAGAAAAAATTAGCTGGGCATGGTGGCACCTGCCTGTAGTCCCAGCTACTCGGGAGGCTGAGGCAACAGGATTGCTTGAGCCCAGGAGTTTGAGGTTGCTGTGAGCTAGGATGACGCTACGGCACTCACTCTAGCCTGGGCAACAAAGCAAGACTCTGCCTCAAAAAAAAAACAAAACTTTGTTGGGTAGGTAAGTCAGGTTAAATGTGAGGGTCTAAATTGAGTTTGCTTTATTCCAGAGAGCATTTGTGCTTGTTTCTGGTAGGAACCACGGATGACTATTGGCTTGGAAACCATTCAGTCCTGTTCTAGGGAACCTGAGTTACCGAGGAGTCTCAGATACAGTAACAGAGACTCAAGCACTAGTGCTAGACACAGGCATTTGCCCCTTAGAAAGTTCTTCCTTTAGGATGTGCTCATTGCTTACTTTTATTGACACCTTTTTTGAAGGAATCTGTGAACCCAGTAATGGAATGAAAATGCCTTCTGCTGGTCCAGTTACAGTGCTTTGTAAAATTGCTCCTCAGTAAATGTAGTCCATTTATTGCCTGAGGCAAAAATATCACCATTCATATTTTCTTTGGGAAATTTCTGGCTTATGACTTTTGCTCATTTATCTGTTGAGTGCTTTGTTGCTTTCTAGACTCATGTATACATACCGGAGAATAATTCTTTGTTGTATATGTTGTAAGTATTTTTCTCCCTATCTTTTCACAAGTTTAACTTGTAACTTTATTTTTAGTGTCTTGTATATGGAAATTTTAAATCACAAAGTTTAGCAGTCTCTTCCTTTATGGCTTTTGAATTCTAATATATCCTGCAGTATGAGCCCATAATGATGGGCTTTTATAATTTATCTTAACATATCTATACACACCTACTTCATGAATGCACTTTGCATCTTCAGTAGTTCTTGATTTTATCTTTGTAAATGTCTGAAGCAGAGATTAACTTTTTTCCCCAAATGGATTGTCTCAGCAATAGTTACTGAAGACCTCATCAACTTCCCCTTTCTTATTTGAAATGCCACCTTTATCTTATAGTAAATTCCCATTTATACAAAGGTACATTCCATGTTAGTGACATGTTTTTGTTTTATTTTGATGTTAATATTTGGTAGTTTTGATTGTTATAATGTCATTGTTTATATCGGAGAGTGTAAATCCTTTCTCTGTATTCCTTTTTATTAAAGGTATCTTGATTTTATTTGTTATATTTCTTTTTAGACAGAGTCTTGCTCTGTTGCCTGGGCTGTTGCAGTGTATCATAGCTCACAATAACCTCCCACTCCTGGGCTCAAGTGATCCTTGTGCCTCAGTCTCCCAAGTAACTGGAACTACAGGCAGTGCCACCTTGCCTGGATAATTTTTTCCATTTTTAGTAGAAATGTGGGTCTTACTGTTGCTCAGGCTAGTCTCGAACTCCTGAGCTCCAGCAATCTACCAGCCTTGGCTTCCTCGAGTGCTGGGATGATAGATGTGAGCCACTGTGCCTGACACTTGTTTTTTTTCTCTTGTGTGTGAATTTTACAATCAGCATGGCCATTCCATGAAAACTTCGTATTGAGATTATGTGATTAGGTTAATTTGGGGGAAGAATTGCCTTTTTTACAATATGAAAGCTTCCTATCTGAAACCATGGTTATATTTGTTAGAATTTGGTAAGGTTGTGGTTAACAGAAAAACTGAAAAATA